TATATACGATTTAAATTTGCTTTTGGCGGTATGGAATCGTATGCAATTTCTACATAATACTGCCATTAGGCCTAGATGCAATATATAGAAGTTCAGGACTCGATTAGTTAACTGCCCGTTGCTCCTGTTATGTAATGAAAAATGGTCAGAAATGTTTTTATTGGAATTTTGTAATAAAAATTAATGCAAAGTGGTGAGTGGACACATATTTTGTACAAACTATGAAATTGCCAGAGATGCGAACTGTTTTTTCGGTCAGCGTATTAACTTGGCCTAATGCACTTTTTCAAAGTTTCGATGGGTGATATCCAATCAAAGCTCGTATATACAAGAAATAATTTCAATATAAATATTTTTGAATTTTTATTAAATCCTTTCACGTTTGTATACATTATGCAAATTTGCATAACATAGTAAATTGCATACAAATGTAAAACTAAGTATTTATCAAGATAGATTATCATAACACGAATGGAAATCTTTGTGTATATATTGCTTTAACGTTTGAAGGCTGTTGNGCCTAATGCACTTTTTCAAAGTTTCGATGGGTGATATCCAATCAAAGCTCGTATATACAAGAAATAATTTCAATATAAATATTTTTGAATTTTTATTAAATCCTTTCACGTTTGTATACATTATGCAAATTTGCATAACATAGTAAATTGCATACAAATGTAAAACTAAGTATTTATCAAGATAGATTATCATAACACGAATGGAAATCTTTGTGTATATATTGCTTTAACGTTTGAAGGCTGTTGTGTTTAGATTGACCAATGTTTTGCACCATCGTACAACAGTCCGTTTCGTATTGCTTTAATAACAGAGCTCGTTTTTGTGGCAATGATGTCCAGCAGTCGGTATGACGCAACTTGAATTTGACTTCACCATTTACATATAAATCGATCCTCTGATACTGCTTATTGGTGCTTCCCAAGGTATTTTACCTGGCCTTAGAGTTGTGAATTTAAAAAAAATGGATACTCTAAATAATCTATACATATAAATGTGACTGTCTGAACATCCCTTATGCGTGGAATTTTTTACCAGCTATAACAAAAGTCACATGAATTTGAAATTTGATATGAAGTCATACATATTTTACACCCTGGTGCGAAATAAAGCCAATTGACAATATTACCTTTTCAAAAGCGAAATAAAGTCAACAAAAATTTGGAAATAAAGTCATTGGCGCTATTTCCTCATTCAAATGGAAATAGCGTCAACAATGCTTAAAGTATGTCGATTCATAGAAAAAAATGTTGTTCTTACAATAAACATTGCCCCGTATGTGTTGTTTTTTAATAGATGAAAAAGGTTATTGCCAAATCCTCAGTGTTGTGATATTAATCCACACACAATCATGAACTACCACCAATTGATTTTATTAAAAAAATTTAAATTACGAATATGTAAAAACACGATGCGAAAAACTAAACGCCTGCGCACAGCTGGAATACGAGAAATATTTGAAGAAAGAGTGTAGAAATGATCCATAACTTGCAAAACATGTTTCGTTTCCACAAAAATAAAGCGAACACTATTAAATTGAAGAAACAGTCCATGTCCAAAAACGCCGGAAGAACACTGAAAGAATTCTGTGTTTTAAATTAGCATATTTTGAACGAATTCGGAATGTCTCAGGTGGAAAAGAAACCAACCTTTCTACAAGGAAACAATTATAGAAAAAGAAGCGGCGTAGCGTGACGTGGTGTGCGCGCCGGTCGCGCGGGGTACGCGGGGCGCGAACGCGACTCGCGTGGTGTGGCGCGCTAACGCGGGCCGCCGCGAAGCTAAGCCAATTTAATATTTGAAAGAGAAATAATGTCAATGGATTTTATTTCGTTTTTAAAAAGGTAATAATGTCAATTGAGTTTATTTCGCACCAGGGTGGGAAATAAAGTCAATTGACCTTATTTCCGTTGATCTTATTACCTGTCACCTTTGAATTGCATCAATGTAGAACAAGTCTCGTAAAAAAACTTTCAAACTTGATTTCCCAAAATTTTCATTTTTACATTTTCAATTTTACGCCGGATCAAATAGGCAGAAAAAACGTTTTAAACGTCCCATTGGCCAAAGCTCAAAACGTTGTCCTACCACTGCATTTAATCCTAGGACATATGTATGAAACTATATGGGTATTCGCACAGTCTTGCAAAACCTTTGCACGGTGCATGGATTGTACGGTTTGCAAAGCTGTCCCATAGGAAAACCGGTTTTTTTTCGTGAAATCCATCTGTTAATTCTAAAAAAATTGGATGCAAATAGCAACGCTTTTTGTCATCTTAAAGTGGTGTCCCAAAATTAAGTGAAGCCAAAATAAAAGGAGGTATTAATTTTTTATTCTCTCATCTAATACTTTTTCATCGGTTTATCTCTTTTTATGAATTTTAGGTTTTTGAGGTGAAATTTCTTAGGCGGCGGTATCGCAAAAATGGAGAGTGAAATTTTTAAAACTGAAAACGTTACATGAGTGAGAAGGAAGATATAGGTAGTATAGGGAAGGGGAAAAAAGAAAAAAAGCGACGCATGACGGGTACGAGTACCTACATATGTATATATGTATGTTTGAATGCACGTATGTATGTATACATATATATGTATGTATGAACGAACTCATTGCGCATTTCAGCTCTGCCGCTACCAAGCAATATATGTATAAATGATGCAAGCGTGCTTCGCGTAACTACATCCATTCGTACATATGTACATATGTTTGTATGGATATATTTATGATGAAGCAAACGGGATTCGTTGATGTACTGATGGGCATACGTATGTACAGCGATGTTTTCATGTATGAACATACATATGTATGTTTGAATGGTTGTATATATATTTGTTTGTGTATGTACATATGTTTGTGTACATGTATATATGCACATACATATGTAGTACAAGCGAAAACCAATCTAATAAGCTACTCGTTGATATAAATGAGAACTGTACTGATTGTCAAAAATTATGTGTTTGTTGTACATTTGTTCATGCTTGTCATTGTGCGTGTAATTTTCTAGAGTAGTTTTGTGCTCTTGCTATCTCCTTGTATTAACTCGTCCTTCGTTGGTATACTCTGATGAACATATGTGAGGATGATAGCAAGGCCAACTTATATAAGGTAGTGTTACAGGAGCAGTTGAAATTTTCGCCCGATGTTTCTTAAAGAAAGCCATAAACGTAGCGACCGTTGGTTCAACTTGGTGTTGTTTTGCTCTAGATTGCACCGTTTGTGGGCCTGTTGAATGAATTTATGTCTTGGTTGTATGAAAGATCAAAAAATTTGGATTTTCTGGCAAGTTGTACAACTTATCGCTACATTAATGGCCATGTTGTACAAACTCATTTAATTTGCGTTTATTTTGTACACTAAATAACCGAAAATGGATAACTCAGCCGAAATAGGTACGTGCTTTCGTTGAATTTTATAAATGTAAGCCGAAACTATGAAATTGTAAAAATGAGATTTTACAATGAGACTGCTCGCAAAATTGCAATGTTTGTGGGCAAAACGTCCAACTTGATTGCGGATTGATTTGAACCAACGTTTTGGGCTTGCATTATGTCAAAAGGATGTGTTTGTTGTAATTCATTCTGTCATTTACTACCATTATGCGTAGGCCAATTCATGAAATCATTTCATGCGTTTGAGTAGAAACTGAATGAATGAACACCATTTCATGATTTCAATTAACGCGAAATAGAGTTTATGCACTTAGTTTTTACTCAGATCGATGAAATGATTTCGTGAATTGGACTACGCATACATGTGATACTTATGCTTTTAATTTATGAGGTAATTTTATGTTTTTATACTCTTGCTACCACATGAATATATGAATTCGTGATAAGAATATATGAATTCGCCTTGGAAGATAGAAAGCGAGTAAGAATAAATGCCGAACAAAGGAATTTGTCTTCTTTCAACTTAAATAAATGCATTTTGCAAACAAAAGTGCGTACGTTACTTAGTGCCTTGGTAATGGCGAATTCGTAAGGATCTATTGATTGCATTATAAACATTTTCATTTATTTGTTAAACATACAATTACTTCCATTACAACCCGGTCCTATGGATGCTAGAAGCGCGAGTTCATATAAGGTGGTGTTACCGGAAAATGAATAAATAAATTATATGTATATCAGAAAATTAATAAGATGAAATGAAATTATTATTTGATTTCTAACCAAACCTATGTATGTAACTCAATCGCCTAATGGTTTGCCGAACCGTAAACATATGTTTACACATCCAATTTCGTATGTACATAGGTACCTGGTACTCACACCTTTTTTAAGAAGTTTCACTTCTATCATGTGTACGGTGTTACACACGCATTTTTTTTTTCATAGGACCTCAAATTTGTAAAATTATGAGCGAAATGAGCTTTTTGAACAACATAAGCTCTGTTTTCATGTTTCTGGCATAAGGGCGACGATATATAGAGATTTATAATTTGGTGTGATTTTTATTTAAATTTTTAGTATATGTTTAAAGTGATTTAGAAATATTATCATTGAAGCTTCTTTTTATGCAAATTTTTATACTTACGTACATGAAATTTTACATTGTTTTGTTTTTCTAAATAGAACATTTCCATTAATACAGCATTAAAATTGATGTCGTTTATTACATACATATGTATTGTGTGTGTAATTTTACCTGAATGCATTCCTAACATTAGGTTTGTTTTTTACATTTTTGGGCTAGTTTCGGACAAATGACCTAGAGGACCACATACACTATCTACCCCCGTGATCGATTCTGAAATTTCTAGAGTCTCTAGGGCTAGGTGAGGTAGTGTGATGAGCTGAGGGCACCTCAAAAAACCCATTTTCGTGCCCGAAACTAAGAGCTCAACCACCCACCGATGTAAAACCGTAGACCGTGTCAGTTGACACGCTACATCTACATATCTTATGGGATTTTCGTGTTAACGAAAACTCAAAGAAAAACAGCTAAATAGGCACATATTTATTAGCTAAAATTTTCATGTTTAACATTGTTCCTCTTCTTCTGGCAGTTTGACAGTTTTCAGAAACTTCGAGCTACTGAGAATCAAATATTGCTCGCTCAAAGTGGCTCTCAACAGCGCGAGAAACAACCAAAGAAACACAAATTGGGCATTTTCGGGCACCTGCGGGTGAGCAAAAGAGCAGACTTATTGTGCGTCCCGGTTTAAAGAATGCAAATTTTGGCAACCGAAAAATTGAAAATATCAAATTGATAGTAAGAACTTGTTTATGAATTTGAAGTATGATTTTTGTAAAATGGCGTTTTGAATACAATTAACAAAAATATTGAAACTATACTTTTCAATTGCAGCCAGAGTTTTTTTTTGAAGAAGAAGATATAAATGAATGTACTCATAGCATCACTAATGTAAACTAAACAGAAAGTTTTAAGGAACAGTTGCATAATTTTTAAATCAATCTAATCCTACTTCCTCAAGTCGAAAAACGTATAATTTATCTGATGTGCTGGTAAAAGAAGTTCAAATATTTTGTAATGAAGGAGTTAGGGGTCATTATCTTCAAATGGCTTTCGACTGTTCAGCCTAAAAGTGTTGAGGCCGAAATATGTTTTCCATCAGCAGGTTTTGTATGTAACAACTTCAGGTCAAAATTAGATGACTCCGCTTTGAATGCTTTGCTGCTCTTACGTGCACATTTTAAGTGCAATAATAACAACACCACCACAAAAAAAAGGTGTGTGCTTTTAACTAGACCCACCTACCAACATATATTTCGACCCCTGAATCCCATTCGGAGGTCTGTTTGACTCGTACACCCTAATAATTCGCCATTTCTTTATAGAGTAGCATGAACATATGAGAGATTTTTTTGTTGTATATTTTTGTTTAATGTTTTGTTTTTTTATTAATCATTACTTCCAGAAGTACCTGGTATTTACGTTGCTATTTGTGATGTATGTGTTCCTCAATCACATGGTTTTTTATATGCAATTTAAAAAATGTATTACGTTAAGATTTGTCTGTATTAATTAATATGTGAATTTTACAATCAGTTTATCGTAAATTTTAAATAGTTTTATTTCATGGTATGTTAAAATGGTTTCAGATATTGAATTTTTACTCATATTTATGAAAGTTACGTATAAAGTATCCCGAAATCCCGAGATCACAATTTTCCGCATATTTTGTCATCCCTAGTACACACGTATGTGTGTGTTTGTTTATTTGCTTTCTTCAACATATTCGATCGTGAGATACATTTGTCGTTTGAATTAACTAGATTTACTTAATTTCAGTTTATTCCATATTAGTTTGAATTTAACGTAATTTAACTTCAGTTTGACGTTATTTGATTTAATTTAATCTGATTTTATCATTTTTTTATGAAATTTAAATTTTATTCTATTTTAATGGACTATTTTAATCTTACTTGTTATAATTTATTTTAATTTTATTTTAATTTATTTGATGTTAATTTTAATTTATTTAATTTTAATTTCAATTGACTTTATTTTAATTTTATTTTGTTTTAATTTATTTTAATCTTATTCTAAAGTCAATTTTAATTGATCTCTTCATTTAAGTTAATCTATTTTAATATTTAGTTGATGTCAAACTTTCTATAATCACTCACTTTTCAAACCACTTCAGCATCGGCTTGTTTTTTTCTTTCAACACGCTTCGCTTTCAAAAGTTTCAAAATTGTTTTTACTTCACAAATTGTCAGAAACGGAAGTGGTTAGTTGGGAAGAGGTTGACAGTGATGGAGACGAAATGGTTTCGTCAGGAGAAGGAAGTGGTTCACCGATACAGGAAAAGCGAGACGGTTCCGCCAGCTCAGTGAAGAAGAGGTCGCAACAAGGAAGTGGTCATGGCGAGCCAGGCAGTGTTTCCGGCAGGAGGAAAGCCACTGAACCACGTTGCAATGGTGATACGCCGGTGGCCGGAAATGGAAGCGGCTGTGGAAACAGTAGCCGCGCTTTGAAGTGTCCCTGAAAAGGTGGCCGGCAAAGGCGAGCAGTTAAGCCGGAAGCCAAGGATGAGGTTATACATGTCCAGTCAATGAGGTTGACGCCGGCGAAAGAGCGAGATGCGGAAACACTGGGAAAGTTTCAGCGTGAGGAACCGGATTTATCAAGATATGCTAAAGGCAGTGCAGCACGAAGGCGGGCGTCTGGGTGTTATGGACAGATGATGCGGCATAGATCTGGCGAAAAGGGTGCCCACGAGAAGAGACATGGTCTGGTCACCACCAGTGGCCGGCAGAAGCACGACCATGTGAGATGGTGCACTCCCGGAGATAAGCCGGAAGCAATGTCCAGTAACGCATTGTGGTTGTACATGTCGCAGCAGAAGAAAAGCTTTACCTCCAAGCAAAGACTTGACTGGAAAGATCCGTTTAAGATTGACAAACGGCTGAAAGACGCAGTGCATCGAATCCAGACAATGGGGAGACCGAGGACCAAGATGAAAGTGGTCCACTTGGAAAGTCTTGCAGCGGTTGGAGCGGCAAGTGTGTCTGATCGGGACGATCAGACTTAGGTGGAGGGCAGTGTGGCGAATACTGCGGCAACGCGAATCGAACAACGAAAAATAGGCAGAATGTTCGAGGAATGACGTAGAATGTTCCACAAAGAGAAACGTCAGTTGGATGAACACTGCGAACAGCGAGAGAAAGAGAATGAGCGATGAACTTCAGAACGTTCGAGAGTTGCCATGAGTGCGAGCGCAGGTATATAAGAGCCACGACACAGCGGAGTTGAGTTAGTTACGAGATACAAGTCAGCAAGCTACAAGTAAAGTGAGCAGAGAAGTGAGTTGCGAATAAGCAAGCTATAAGTTTAATTGTGTTAACAAGTTTAGTAAAGCGTTGTTATTGCCTTAACAAGTATTGTAAAGAGTTTTTACTGTATTAGCAAGTATTGTAAATTGTTTGTTGTACAATAAAGTTAATTGTACTACAATTTGGTCATCGTGAGCATTTATTTAACAATCCAGCGATACGAGCCCGAGTATATTTGGGAAATCCCTCAAGGTGTCGAGGAAAATCGTAACAATACATTTTAGAAAAATGGGCGTGGCATCGCCCACTTATATCATATATGTGTATCTCCAAATTTGGTATACACACTGCGCTTATCCTCCTTAAGCACCGTCTTGAAATCGGAAAAAACCACGCGTTCCACCCGGTACGTATACACTAGGGATGTCAATTTTCGGGGTTTTGTCGATCCCGGGATTTTCGGGATCTGAAAATACAATCCCGGGATCCCGGGATTGTCCCGAAATTCAGGCAAAACTGCAACACATCTGTGATCATCCTATTATAGTATTTTAAATCAGATTGATATAACAAAAAAAAGTACAATTTATTGTAAATCATTTACATATTTATCAAGGCGATAAATCAGTATTTTCAATCAACAAAAAACAAACATAAAATTTAACAAACATATATGTATGTATTACAGGGCTGCATGAATTCATTCAAACTTCTAGACAAACAGAGTACAGTAGATTTGAATATATTATTTCACATACAAAACACTCAGCGTTTGGAATTTTGTAAGTTATGAATATACATTTTGTTTTATATTTTCTACCTTCAAATGGAAGAATATGAATGAATGAATGGAAAACATTCAAATCATTCAAACTCAGTTCGGTAAAAGTTTTTTTCTACAAACACGTTTTTTCGTATGTATTAGGAGCGTAGCAATACATACATACATACATTGTATGTTTGTACATATGTGCATAGAAAAAATATTTTTGGATATTCATACACAAAATTGTCATTTATTTCAATTCAATTTATTTTCACTTTGTTTGAATATTGTGATGTCGACACAAATATCAGAACAGCTATTCACTCAAATTCAAAAAAACTTTAAGCCAAAATCAATCATTCGTTTTGTATATGAATAATTCAAAAGCCGTTTTGAATGCATTCATGCAGCCCTCTAGTATGTATGTACATATCCTCATTAATTTATAACATAGTTTTTGTACTACAAGTACAAATGCATATACGGTCACAGAAATATTTTGCATAGATTTTTTTTTGCAATATTCAGAATATTTTTCATGGTATTTTTTTTGTTAATTTAAAAAAATATATATGTATGTGCAATTTTGAAGTTGCGAAAACATCCCGTCGACATTTTATATTTTTTTTTTGCTACAAAAAAATTCGTTATAAGGAAGAAAAGGCCCAACATCGTCAGTAAAAAAAATTCAAAAATCAAGGGAGTTTTTAGCAACTTTAAAATTGCACTTTATTGTATTAAATTAAATGGGCTATAAAACTGCATAATGGAATTTTTTGCAAAAATTATGATTAAAAAGTTTGATATTTTTATAATAATTTGGTGAACTTAAACCAACTTTCTCTAAAGTGTGAAATTTTGATTTACATGATTTTTGTTGTAAAATGAGCTATATATTTTTTTTATTTAACAAAAAAATACCATGAAAAATATTTTGAATATTGCAAAAAAAATCGATGCAAAATATTTTTGTAAGCGACTGTATTTGGTACAGCAGTAACTGCCTATGTAACTATATAACATTTTTTGAATCACGGTTTGAGATCAATTTACGATATTATCAGTATATTTAAGTAATAATAAAAAAGTTAACACATTTAAGTAAACAATAAATATATACGTGCATCACCTATTCCATTTCGAGCGAAGCAAAATTATTCCTTCTTTTGATGGTAATGCGATCTTAAAGAAATTATAGCATTAAGGGTTGCAAAAAAATTCTTAATTTGCCCTTGAGAGGGGATATTTGTGATAAAAATTTAATTGGCTAACAAAAAAATTTTTTCTAGTGCCCGAAAATATGCTCTCGAAAAGAGACTAGTAAAATTAAAACTGAGGTTGCTAATTAGGAATCTGAAGTCAGTTTTTCAAAATTCAAAATGGCGGATCCAAAATGGCGATCTATTTTTTTTTAATGGTTGGGTTTGTTCGAAAACCGGCATTCGAGAGTTTTTGGGGGTCGCCGATTACGAATCTGAAGTAAATTTTTTAAAATTCAAAATGGCGGATCCAAAATGGCGATCTATTTTTTTTTAATGGTTGGGTTTGTTCGAAAACCGGCATTCGAGAGTTTTTGGGGGTCGCCGATTACGAATCTGAAGTAAATTTTTTAAAATTCAAAATGGCGGATCCAATATGGCGATCAAATTAAAAAAAAATTACTAAAAATTAAAACGTTGATACTGAACGTTTTCAGCATTAACAAGGGTTGAAACTCGTTTCCAGTGGGTTTCTGAGCTTGCTGATTGTGAATCTGATGTCAGATTTTCAAAATTTAAAATGGTGGATCCAAAATGGCGACCAACTTAAAAATAAATTATTGGATTTGTTTGAAACTCTTAACCGCCATTTTGAATTTTGAAAATCTGACATCAGGTTCATAATCAGCAATCCCAGAAACCCCCTGGAAACGAGTTTCAACCCTTGAAAATGTTTAAAACGTTCAGTATCGACGTTTTAATTTTAGTAATTTTTTTTTTTAATTTGATCGCAATATCACATCCGTTATCGGCGACCCCAAAAACTCTCGAGTGCCGATTTTCGAACAAATCCAACCATTTAAAAAAAATGGATCGCCATTTTAGATCCGCCATTTTGAATTTTGAAAAACTGACTTCAGATTCCTAATTAGCAACCTCAGTTTTAATTTTACTAGTCTCTTTTCGAGAGTATATTTTCGGGCACTAGGCCCATTCTAACTGACCAAGACAGGTATGTAATTGAGGGTATGTTCCCCAATAATATCACAGTAAGTATATGTAAAAACCAGATTTTTAGCTGCATTTTAACATGTCAAGAAAATAAAACATTGAGAACATCCGCGTTTTTATAAAAAACCGATCAGCGCGAGCTTGAGGTACCGTTTATGAATTTCCAAAAAAATAAAAAATTTTGAACCACTCCAATATATACATACATACTCTTTAAGAAATAAAAGATAAGAAATTTATTAAAATTCCAGAGAAAAGGTTTTACTATTCAAAAGAAAAAATATTGATTTTTGTGGTTCGGAGACCGAACTACATACATAAGAAAAAAATAGTGCGAGATCGATTTTGTTGAATGGTGTAATGAATGTTATGGAAAAAATTCTAAAATTGCTTGTCTTATTACGAATCCTAATTGATTTACTATATTTAAAGAAGAAATCCAAACTGACCTGTACACACTGATCCTCCTTAACGATAAGCATCTGTTTACAGCAGGCAATGACTTCCTTCAAAGTGCCAACTTGTTTTTGTATAACACTTAATTCGGTGCGCAACGATAAGTTCTCCGCATTAGCCATCTGTAGAGCAAGCTGTGCATTAGCAAGTTCAATATTGGCATGGCGACCGCGACTCTGGGGATCCTCATCGTCAGAGTCTGGTCCAGCGGTGGCACCGATAATAGTACCTTCTTCTTCTACCAGCGGCCTTTCCGAATCTGCACTCGTTAGCTCGACTGTATCCTTTCGTCGAAAGCAGCGCGTAAGCTCCTGCTCATCGGCCAATTGTCTGCGTAATGTGACGATCTCATCGCGCAAGTCTTGCACGGCCGTCTGGCGAGCTAATCGCTTGATGCGCAATTCTTCTTTGAATTCTTCGAGTGTTTGTTCTCCTGCTACAGTATTGCAGAGTGCGTGTGAGTCTTGTGAGTTAAGTATGCGGTAAGCTCGAACGCTGCCTCCTGCCAATTTATCGTCTGTGCGCGGTTCCTCATACAGCATTTTAGTAGAGCCCGATGCTTCTTCGTCGCTTTCTGCCATCGCATTATCCTTATTTCTCTGACTTGCTTTTGTATTTTTTATCATCAATTGCGCATTTACATTTTCGCAACGTTTCAAAATTGAGGCAAAATCCGCGGGCAGCTCATTTTTGTTGGTACTGCTGTTATTAAGTTCACTTTCCCTTCGTGCGGCAACATTCGGCACGAGGTCTAATATCAAATCGCCATTCTCTACTTCCCACCACCAGGCATCGTCGTCGTGAGGCGGTTGCATATGCGGCTGTGGTGCCGTTGATATTGTAGATTGATCGCCGAATGTTGTTATGGTACCAACATGTGTGGGATGTTCTCTTTGCTCCGCCATCTCTCTCAGCGGCGATTTTATATTGTCCATGTCGGTGAATGCTTTGGTATTTTCTTTGTTTAATGTATGTTCGTTCGATTTCCTACTGCGAAGTATAGTGACTGATCAGTACCAAAGACAACAATTTTCGTCTTTCGAACCAAGCAAAGGACCGACTGACCCTCCCGTTGATTGGCCTCGTTAATTTGTTACCATTCATATACTTATACTATAAACTTTGTCGCGTTCGTCTTAGCCTGTACAACTGCGTTTTAAATTGTTAAAAATATTTATGCATATAATTATGTACGTATGAATGTAAAAATGTTCGAATGAATTTAATTATTAAAAGTTTTATTAAACAAAAACCAGGATTCTCACTGATAAAAACACAGTTGTGAAGTTTTCGCTTATCTTATGAACTTTGAAATAATTGACATTGTGTTTGTTCACATACGTTTTTAAGTACATATACATATACGTTTGTATGTGTTTACTCTTTAACATCTACATACGTATAAATATCTAACAATTTTCTCAAAAGCTCATTAATTTTAAGTTTCCCGGTTATCAGAAAACGAAAAAATATATATATTTCTAACCACATATTAATCATATGGGCAAATATACTTTTAATGTAGATTTTTTCATCAAATTATAGTCAGGGAGCTAGCGAGAGTAAAACTGTGCCGATTTTATCGTCAAAGACAACATATCGGGGACTTAAATTCACTGCTGTAGATTAACAGAAAACAACACTTACATCGCACCTTGGGACTATTTGGTGTCAGGAGGGTTCACATTGTGTAATAAAAAATTAAAAATAACCTTACTTTATCGTCGTTGGCCTTTTGTGTGGTTATCAATTAACATTGGACGATGTCAAAAATTGATCACTTACACTTATTTAGCGGGACAAGGTACCGCTTACAAGCGCGCAAAAATGTCAAAATTTTGGCGAAAATCGACCTATGACATCGCACTCTAAATATATCATGGACATAGAGTAACGCATTATACATAAGCGTGGGCCGAAAATCTGCTTTTTATAAGCTTTTATTTAACTTGGTCATGCCGCGGAAATTTCCAATCGATTTTAAACTAACTTCCCGACAAGTTAGAGACTTGAAATTTTCAGTCACGATGACAATGCAATTTATTATATAAATGAATTCCCCATATGGCCCAGGGTCTTGATTCAAAGGCGGTCAAAAAATAGTAAGATTTATGGCTAACAGAGCGTAATTTGCCAAAGAACGTAAAACCACTATAAAATTGTTAAAGCTGCCGGCGATAGTGTAGCAAAGCATTTGTGTCAAGTTCTAGATAACAACCTTGTCTAGATATGAACCTCGTTGTAGAAATTAGAAGACTCCAGATGTCGCCCCGCCAGAAGAAGTTAAATATTGCGCCTAAATATATGCAATTTACATATGCTACAGCGGAAATGGACGACACGTCATATCTTTAAATGAAATTAACTGCTGCTATATGTACATATGTATGTTTATACAAAACGTAAGCAAACATTTTGCTAGCATAGTCTTCTGTTCTCTTTCATTGCAAGTTGAATTATTTTAATATCTATTGCAAAATTTTGTACATAAAATGAAATAACACTTTTTAATATACAACGCTTTTATAAATGGACTAAAAATTAGAAAATAAACTAATGTAAAAAAAATATTTTTTAAAAACAATTGTTTTAAGCTTTTATTTAACATGTACAATCAAAGGAATAAAATAAAGTAGTTTAACAAAAGATTTTTTAGCATGAAAATTTTGTCAAAACTGCACTAAAATGAATAAAATAAAATAAGTTAAGGTCTCGTTACAGTTACTAAAAGCCATCTAGTGAAAGGAGTTATTCAAACTCTAATGAAAATTACTAACAATTTGTACTAATTTACTTCGTTTTTAATTCGGCGAATTCAGCGTGCATGCATAATTGGTTAGGTATGTATATGTATGTATGTATGCAGATATTTAAATGCCGGTTTGCTATTCGCGCGACAAGCTTTTTTAAAAACGAAGTAAATTAGTACAAATTGTTAGTAATTTTCATTAGAGTTTGAATAACTCCTTTCACTAGATGGCTTTTAGTAAATTTAACGAGACCTTAACTTATTTTATTTTATTCATTTTAGTGCAGTTTTGACAAAATTTGCTTGCAAAAAAGTCTTTTTTTAGACTACTTTATTTTCTTCCTTTGATTGTACATGCTAAATAAAAGCTTGTTTTTAAAAAATATTTTTTTTACATTACTTTTTCATTTTTTGTCAGTGCTATCAGATCTGCACGATTCGTTCTATTTTAAAAAATGAAGTGTCAGATTAAAAAACTTGACCTGTAGACAATAGAGGTTTATTTTTTTAAAGAGTTGCCACCTGTTAAAAAATTAAATTCAAACTATTAAAATAAGTTAAATGAGTTATTAAAATATTGGTATCAGTAGAAATGGGTGTGAAAAGGGTTTATTTCTTAACTACATGTAGCAGGGTTGCCACCTATTTAAAAAATCGATATGCATATGTATTAAGGGAATTAGGTAATTGAAATACATAGGTATCACCAAATGGGGACAGAGGTTTAAGAAGGTTACAGCTTATAAATATTTTGAAGAGGGTTGCCACCTGTTTGTAAAGGCCAATTTTGTTAAACTAAAATAACAACTGTTTCAAACCGAAATACATTGTCAATCAGTGATTTGTTCTTTCTTGCTAAATATGCCCAATTTTTTCCTTTGGCTGAAACCCATATTGGTATATGTACATATTTCCGTTACCTTATTCCCTTAATTAAAGTGAATTTGATTTTTTCAAAAAGAGACAACCCTTCTACGTGTCGTTAAAAGTAAAGCATTTTGAAAACCATTTCAATGGATACCCATATTATAATATCGAATTCATTTAACTTATTAAATAATTTTAATAAAATTTGTAACAGGTGGCAAGCCTTTACAAAAAATAAATCTTTATTGCACATTTGCAGGCCAAGCCCTGTCATTTGACACCTCACTTTTGAAAATAGAACGAACTATATGTACATACCTAGTATGTAAATGCCACAAGAACCCAAATTGTCAACTTCAAACCGCATTTATAGTGCAAGTATGAAAGTTATCCAAAAACAAATTGCATTCTTCAATTTAACGTCCTCAATTTATTAAGAAGCGAATTTTCATTTAAATCCGTCCATAATTCAATTTTTGCCCACATTTTATATAGAAGAGAAGCACTGTGCGGCGGCGACTTTGCCGATCACTTACACTCACTCATTTTTTTTTTGAGAGCGCGCCCAGGAACTCGTTTTCGTACTTGGCAGCACTGTGGATTTCTTCTTCCCGCATTTTTTAATATTACTATAAAACAGTATTTGTAACTAAACGCAATTTTCCTGGCAATATAAACAGTGAAATATAAAATAGATATGAAGAATATTGCAACTTTTGTTCGTTGTGTTTAATGAAAAGTTTATCCATAAATTTCTCTATAAATGCCCATACATGTTTTCGATACAGTCATAGTTGCCAACTTAGTGCTTTAAGCACTAGATTTAGTGCTTTTTGAAAACTAAAACGCCAAATAAAATTGTTTAGTGCCTAGTGCCCTTTTTAGTGCTTTTTTTAACTAAAATTCCTGAATTTACAAGAATCTACAAATTTAAATGCACTAAAATGCAAACCATGATTGATAAAAAAATGAAGTTGCAAACCCACGTTCTTGCGTTCTTGTAAAATTGTACTCGCGTTGAAAATGGTAGCACGCAGATAAGTTAAGTATTTATTTCTTTATTTTCTTGATTATAATCAATAATTATTGATTGATTACACAGTTCGAAAAATTTGATCTCTTTTTGCCACCTGAGTGAGGTTTTTGTAGATTTTTCAGTGCTGAATCCAAAACTGGCTGCAGAATTTCTCTACCACGTCAGAATTTTGAGATATCCTAACCTCTAAGTCTAAAAACACGGTTTTTCACAATATTTGGAGTTATATTATAAAACAACAAATTTTTTCGCTCATTTCTACTTAAAATTCAATTTCGTTTGTTGCGATTCGATTGTTTTTCTCCAGATGTACCAGTTTTAATGTGCAGTACTTCGGTATTACTTCGTAAGCATGAATGGGTATTTATCAGACAACAGCATGAGTTTACTCACTTGCATCTAAACAGTATGAACTCGTTGCTGTGAACTCTATAAGGTTAGTGAGAAACACCGTACAAACAATGAGATTCATAGTTAGTTTTGAAATCAATGTTTAGCTGCAGTGTACTCATTTGATTTCAAATATGGCATTGATATACTCTTTCCAAATCAAGTGAAGCGAGTGAAAAATGCCGTTATGAAAAGCAAGTCGAGCAATCGAGTGACACCCATTGATTTCAAACAATTAGTAGAGAATACGACAATTTTGAAAAAAATGGATATTGATGAAGTATTTTTTTAAATATATAAGTTATATATTTATTTTACTATTTAATATTATTAGTTTACCTGACGTACATTTATATAATTAGTCTACAAAAGAAATGCAATGTTACCTCAGAAGACATCGGCTTTATAAGGGACTTGAAAAATAAGTTGCTTTATTATTTAAAAACAGTTGCTGTTGAAAACTAACAGATTTGCACAAAATTGTGCTTTTTTATACCCGCCAGCAAAAGAGCTGGAGAACTTTACCGAATCTGAGCAAAGGTACACAAACGAGAAATGTTTACAAATTATGAGAACGTTAATTGAGAATTCTGACAGTACAACGGAACCACAAATTACGGATACACCTTTGTTACCTTCAGACAACTTTGAGCTGTTTTCAGGTCTTCTTAAACAACCTACCTTTGTGAGCAGAACTGATAAAGCTACTGCAGAGCTGCGGCGATATGAAAATATTGAGGTATATTTTCATACGGACTTCGATATAATTAATTGGTGGGTGCCGCTGCTGCATAAACTCAGTCGTAGAGTAATAGCCACTCCTTCAACTACCGCATCGTCAGAAAGAGTTTTTTCTTCTGCTGGAAATGTTATTTCTGACAAAAGATGCCACCTTTTGTCAAATGATGATGCCCTTAATCAGTTGATATTTTTGCATTATAATATTAACAAAAATTGTCTTTGCAAATGTTTTTTCTTTGATACTTTCATTACAGCAGTTATGCCATGCACTTGTTTTTCAAATCAAGCACTTGTTATTTGAATCGAGCACTTGATAGTGTGAATTACTCACTCAACCGACGATGTTTTTTCAATGATATCGCACGTTATGTTTGGAAATAAATGAGTGCGAGTGTATCCATGCAGCTCTCTAGTATTTATTTATACATGTAAATAGTGTTTCTTTTTTTCCTTTTGTTTACCACAAACTGTTATGAAAAAAGAGTATCCTTTGATAAAAAATTTAGTGCTTTTAGTACGGTAAAACGCTCTTTTTTCCAAGGTTTGGTGCTTTTTGAAATTCAAAAGTTGGCAACACTGGTTACAGTGGCTCTACTGGAGAATGTTATAAAAAATACACACTTTGACAGCGCTCTTACGAGAGAAAGAGTTTCATATCTAGTTATCCATGACAATAGGTTTGTCCCGCTTATGTGATGTAAGCGCATTATTTTTACATGTATAATACGTATCTCTATGTCAATGATAAATTTAAAGTGCGATGTCATCGGTCGATTTTCCCCAAAATTTTGACATTTCTGCGCGCTTGTAAGCGTACATTGTCCCGCTAAATAAGTGTAAGTGGTCAATTTTTGACATCATCCAATGTTAATTGATAACCACACAAAAGCCCAACGACGATAAAATAAGGTTAGTTTTAAATTTTTTATTACACAATGATATTGCTCTAGGAAGGCGTTGTCCCGCTAACTGGGTGTAAGTGGTTCGTTTACGTGATTATATTAAAAATCTTATCATACTTTTATCGACGATAAAATAAGTCACTAAAAACTGTCGCTAGCTCCCGGACTAGTAGCTAAACAATTGCAATGCATTGAAACCGATCAAGAGCTACTTGCTTTAAAAAGCAAACAAAAAGTCTTGCTTACGCTATTTTGCAGTCAGCAATTCAAACCCTGGTAAGTGCAATCCCTAATTGCCGACATAAACTGCGTGCATGTGAACTATGCAAACAACGAAACATGCCTTGGCAGCAGCTTATCAAGCTAACCTAATATTAGGTGCGTTCGTTTAAAATCTCCAGTAAAAACCAAGCAACTGCCAAATTCCGGCGAAATGTCATTTGTTCTCTCACAAGAGAAAAATATCCCAAATAGTACGCGAACAGAAAATTTGCAGAAACTTGCAAGTTAGATGAAGAGCTGATATAATTTTTGTTTACATTCAAAAGTGTAAAATTTAAAACGTACGAAAAGCCATCACAATATGTTATACTGACACAGTTTATTGATTAAACAAATAACTACTTATTTCTTACAAGTTTAATTAGTCGCATTTTGTAATTTTTAACTTCCAAACCATTCAATTCAATTTTGTGATTTGCGTAAATGCAACCAGCTGTTTTTGATCAGCTGTTTTCCTGTTGGCAAATTGCAGAAACCAGCAGCTTTCCCTCAAAATGAAATGTCACTTTGCTCTCTCAATTTCCCCTACTTTGCAAGTTTTTTGCGTACGCGAACGCAAAAACTTGTAAGTTTTGGTTAAACATGAACAATTAACAGCTACGCGAACGAANATCAGCTGTTTTCCTGTTGGCAAATTGCAGAAACCAGCAGCTTTCCCTCAAAATGAAATGTCACTTTGCTCTCTCAATTTCCCCTACTTTGCAAGTTTTTTGCGTACGCGAACGCAAAAACTTATAAGTTTAGGGTAAACATGAACAATTAACAGCTACGCGAACGCAACTACTCACGCACGCCGCCAATTTACTGTCAAAAATTTCTCATGCACATACAACTTGTATGGGACCAACCGAAATTGAACGGCGTGCGTATTAAGCTAACTCTATTTCCAATTTTTGTTCTGCGTGACATTTTGATTTGACATTTCGCTCAATGAAATCAAATGCAAACGCATGCAAGCCAATTTGGGTGGCGCAAGGAAAGAAATTATACGGCGTGCGTACCAGAACGCAAGCCGCGAATATTAGGTTAGCCTGTATAGCAGACTGATTCGTTGGTTGAATTTCGTTTTTTGTTCAGAAAAATAATGTGTGAGCATCAGGGCTGCCAGTTTAGCTCTTTTCCCGTCAAATCTGGCTCTTTCGAAGTCCATTTAGTGGCAGGAAATGAGAAATAGCGGGAAGCGGGAAATTCAGCGGAAGATTTCATCAGTCCACTCAAAGATGTGAAATATGATGGACAGGAAAGTTTTGCCAGCTACATAATTTCGAAAATGGGGTTGACGAAACTAGGTTTCCGAACGCATGAAGAAAGTGATCAAAATTCTACTTTGTTAATTGTTTATCTGAGAGCGGTCTGTACAAGCCGACTGCATACATTGGAAATTTTAAATCCAAAATTTGTTAAAGTTAGTGGTGATACGCTAACCACAAAGCCTAATTTTTTGCAAAATCTGATAAGATATTTAAAAGTTTGACCAAAATATTTTAAAAAGGTTTTAGTTGGGAAGAAAATTCTTTAAGGCAGTGTCACACGATGTTTTGAGACAACATCGAGTGTTTTGAGCATAGATTTTTGCTGCCCGATGTTTTATCAACATCAACTTTTGCTTCGATGTTCATTTTTTATTATTTAAATTCGTTAATTGGGCTGAATACTCAAAAACGTTCTAAAAATTCTGAGTAAAAAGTTTAAAATTTACATTAAAATCTTTTGAATTTTCCCTTGTTTTACACAAAGTTTAGAAATTATATTTTTATATTTTTTGTTGTAGTATGAACCATATTTTTTATAAAAAAATAACGAAAAAAATAAAAATTGCGGCGTACATTGTAAAAATTTCTCTTATCGGCAGTGTATATTTACCACTTTTTGTTTTTTTTCATAGTTTTGCATTATTCATTTATTTTTCGTAAAAGTATCTAACTTTTTTATAATTTATTGAATTAATTGTTATTCAAATGACTTGTTATGTTTTGCTGAGTTTTTGTTATTCTTCGAAATTTTACGTTTTAAACGAAATGCGTAAAAAGTCGCATGTATAAATAGTCGAGTTTAACCTCATCATCAGTATATAACCTGATCCTGAGCCAAGCTCACTTTTCTTAAAAAAAAACATTAAAAATCGATGTTTTCGCACATCGATGTTTTTTACCCGATGATTTACCAACATCGAACAGCAAAACATCGATGATTGAAACATCGATGTTATTTGGTCGATGTCGCAGCCCTAGTGCCGTCGAGTTAGCTCGAATATCTTACTTTTCAGTCGAGAAATGTAATTTCGAAATTTTCAAATTACTACGGTGTATTTTTCTCACAAACATATGACTCAAAACAAAACGGCGATAAGAGGAAGTCTCTACGAGCAGCAGCACCCGAGATATAACGATTTGAAGAAGTACATGATTAATCAGAATCACAAAAAAATCCAAAAAAAGAAAAAAAAATCCTCGAATACGGACACATGACATAATTTTTTTACGAAATCCGTCCGACTTAAAAATACATACATACATATGTATATGTTTCTATGCATATATGTACGTATGTGCAATATGCACTTATGTATGTCTTATGTATAGAGACTTCTCAGCCTACAGCTTGCATTTTCACAACCACTTCACTTTTTTCCTTTATGCTTAAATGATATTTATTAAATGATAGATAAGTGCTATGTATATATGTATGTACATTAGACCACGTCAAAAAAATAAAGGTCCTGCAATGTGACCGCAATCTGACTCAGACCTTGAATTTCCTCTCTCTACGATAATTTTACGCACATCGAGTTTTATTTTTCCCATATGAATTACACGTAAGAGAATGAGTTATTCTCTTTTGAGCTCAATATAATTTTCTAGGATTAATCAAAATGCTCGGAACTATAGGAAGACGTTGATTGCATGCCATTTAAATATTATGCATGCTCAGATTCTTTACATTATGGCACTTTAATGGAGTATAATCAATATATTCTTACACTTTCGAACGTTTTGATTGATCCTAGAAAATTATATTCACCGCAAACATTACTCATTTTCTTACGTATAATTCATATGGGAAAAATAAATACTTGATGCTCCACCTCATAGAATTGTCGTAGAGAGGGGAGATTCATGGAGGATCATTACTATATCAAAAACCAAATCTGAGTCAGATTGCGGTCGCATTGCAAGAGTTTTATTTCTTTTAACCGGTCTAATATATATATGTACATGTAACTGTAATTTATATTCCAAGTTCACGCGATATGTATTACAATACATCTTTACATAAGTATATATCGTCGTTTAAAGAACAAAACCGCGTATGGTCATTCTGCAAACCGCGTAACTGACATTGGCTGCCAAAAATTTAATTTGCTCACACAAGCTCTTGGCTCAATCCTTATCCATTCGTCCTGAAATATACTAGCCAGAAGTGCTATTGCTTTATAAAAAAGAGAACCATTTTGAAATATGAGTGTTTTTACTCTCTAGAAAATAATTTATGCAACCTCACATACGCTTTTTTGCATTATCTTGATACGCGGTTTTTCATTTAGTTGATACGCGGTTTTGTACTTTAAACGACGATATGTAGATATAAATGTGTGACTCGTCCTTATCTCTTCATGTCATACAGGCTTTACACTCAAAATTAAATATGAGAATTATAAACAAGTAAGTATTTCTGTAGGTTTTTTTCACTTTACAGTATTTTAATTTGTTTTTTTTTTTTTTTTTATTGCTAGAACGTCTGTGTGAAATTTTTAGTTTGGTTCGTGCAACTTATCGCCAGCAGTTCTCTTGAAAAACTGACAGCGCGTGCTATTTTTAACAAAGATATACGTACCAGAAAGAAAATTTCATACTGTTCACACAAACTTGTACGATCCCAACGAACGAGTTCATATGAATTTGCTTATTTTAATTTTTCATTGGCGGAGGAAATGTTGACGTGAAAGTTTTTGTTTCTTTGCATTGTTAATCTAGAAAGGCATGGTAGGATTGACCCATGGTGGAATTATACAAGGTGGTTGTGACAAGCTGGTTTGATATTCCTTAACTAAATGTTGTACTTTGGGAGAACGATAGAAACCAGGGCCCTTTTCTTAAAGTAGTGAGTAAAGCAAGGAATGAAACCGAATCAAAATAACGTTTCGGTTTCAGTTTTTACAAAGTGTTTCGGTTCCGGTTTCGGTTTCGGTTTTGAACTAAAAATATGAAATCAAGTTTGGCAAAAATCACTATTTATTAAATAAATGTGTACCTTCCATAGTTTGCTAAAATTTTTTCGCGACACTAAACATTGTGTTTAATTTTAATTCATATAAAAACTCTGAATAACCCGCACTTTGCAAATTGCCTATCAGCTTGAAAGCAATTTATCTTTCAAGACGATAGGCAATTTTTCTTCCAATTTCAACAGCTGATCGATAACAACATTGGCAAGTGCGCTTTTATTTGCAGAAAATTGTGTGTTTAATAAAATATTAAAGAAACGTGTTTGCGCTGCACACCCGGTAGAAGTAAAATATTTATAAAATTACGAGAGAATGGGAAGAATGTGCTTGTTTGTTGTAATCTTGGTACGAAGTTGATAAGCTTAAATATTTTTTTTTTTAATTTGTTAATGTTTTAATTTTTCTTTTATTATTGTTTATACTCATGTTAAAATTTCTACAAAAGAGACGAGTGGCTTATGGTAACTAGCGCTGGAAGATACGTCGATGTAATATCGATACATCGATGTTTTTGAATTTGTCTCAAACATCGATGTTGTCAAAACGCATGTGCATCCTCGACTTTAGCGCTCGGACGCTCAGGATACAGAGAGTGATTTAGTGTTAATTCAAATCAATAGTCATATATATTTGTCAAGTTTTCTTTTTATACAATTGAGTCTATTACCTTAATGCGGGAAATATCGATGAGGCTGGTAGCTCCGGTGTTCTTCCTTGATGATTCAAAAAAGAAGTGAAAGATTAAATTAAATCGCGTTAGTTGCGGACCGCCGGACAAACACCGATATAGAAGGGGAAAGTTAACGATAGTTCGTTGTCGGCGGAAAGGACTTGCTAACGGCCCAAGTCTTCGCGTTAATACGTATGTGTATACATACGTGCGCATGTATAGTTATATACACACGAATGCGTACACAAATACGTATTGAGTGTGTTAGAGAAAATGACATTAGGGTGGAGCACCAGCTTTTTGAAATATTTAGGCTGAAGGCCTAAACATACCGCCCCCCTTGCGGTACGCAACATCTGTGCTTGGGAAACCCTAGAGCTACCAGCTTCATATGTTCTTACAATTACAAAACAAGTGTGTGAATTCATGTATGTTCTGCTGTTGACAGCGGCGCCACCATCACCAAGATCTTCGACTAGCGGTTCCATCCTTTTTCCCCTAAAACACCTAGTGAATCATAGAGTGAAAAGCATAAGGAAACAAACATGGTTATAATTCAATGCACTTTACTTCATTAAAAAAATTCAAATAATTCACGTTTTATTTCTGTTTTTTGTATAAGTTAAATTTACGGCCGGCACGTTCCTGACAGCACCCATCCGAAAATAGTGCTTTGCGCAATGAGGGGGCCAAACGACGTCTGTAAAGTTCCGGGCAGGATTAGGTCCGCATACACGTACGACCCAAGGGCAAGGCGTATCGGTGCTGATGCGAAAAAACTTGGATCCGCAAGCCGAATGTGGATATACGGCGTAGCAACTGATGGATCCACATTAGCCCTAGGTGAGACATGATTGTAATGGGGTATAACAAGCGCATGGGTCGCCACCCGCTTGTTCTGCCCATGCTTGCCCCTTATGCACAGAAAACAACCTCGTTGCCCGCCGATATACGTTTCCTGATGCCCTAGCTCTTGGGCCAGATCCGCGGACACGATTGTGTTCGGCGCACAGGCGTCAATAATCGCGCGGATCAGATGTAGGCGCCCTCTCGCCTCCACCTTTACAACAGCCGTCGGCGCCACGGATATAGTGGGCTGTAGTGATGGAGTTATTATGNAATTGAGTCTATTACCTTAATGCGGGAAATATCGATGAGGCTGGTAGCTCCGGTGTTCTTCCTTGATGATTCAAAAAAGAAGTGAAAGATTAAATTAAATCGCGTTAGTTGCGGACCGCCGGACAAACACCGATATAGAAGGGGAAAGTTAACGATAGTTCGTTGTCGGCGGAAAGGACTTGCTAACGGCCCAAGTCTTCGCGTTAATACGTATGTGTATACATACGTGCGCATGTATAGTTATATACACACGAATGCGTACACAAATACGTATTGAGTGTGTTAGAGAAAATGACATTAGGGTGGAGCACCAGCTTTTTGAAATATTTAGGCTGAAGGCCTAAACATACCGCCCCCCTTGCGGTACGCAACATCTGTGCTTGGGAAACCCTAGAGCTACCAGCTTCATATGTTCTTACAATTACAAAACAAGTGTGTGAATTCATGTATGTTCTGCTGTTGACAGCGGCGCCACCATCACCAAGATCTTCGACGAGCGGTTCCATCCTTTTTCCCCTAAAACACCTAGTGAATCATAGAGTGAAAAGCATAAGGAAACAAACATGGTTATAATTCAATGCACTTTACTTCATTAAAAAAATTCAAATAATTCACGTTTTATTTCTGTTTTTTGTATAAGTTAAATTTACGGCCGGCACGTTCCTGACAGCACCCATCCGAAAATAGTGCTTTGCGCAATGAGGGGGCCAAACGACGTCTGTAAAGTTCCGGGCAGGATTAGGTCCGCATACACGTACGACCCAAGGGCAAGGCGTATCGGTGCTGATGCGAAAAAACTTGGATCCGCAAGCCGAATGTGGATATACGGCGTAGCAACTGATGGATCCACATTAGCCCTAGGTGAGACATGATTGTAATGGGGTATAACAAGCGCATGGGTCGCCACCCGCTTGTTCTGCCCATGCTTGCCCCTTATGCACAGAAAACAACCTCGTTGCCCGCCGATATACGTTTCCTGATGCCCTAGCTCTTGGGCCAGATCCGCGGACACGATTGTGTTCGGCGCACAGGCGTCAATAATCGCGCGGATCAGATGTAGGCGCCCTCTCGCCTCCACCTTTACAACAGCCGTCGGCGCCACGGATATAGTGGGCTGTAGTGATGGAGTTATTATGGTATTTCGAAAGGCGTGCGGTCGTGATAGCTGGCGAGGCCTAGTCACAAGTCTATCCTCGTGTTGAAATGTTGTGGATTGGCGCAGGCGGAAAGGCCGAGTNTAGTGATGGAGTTATTATGGTATTTCGAAAGGCGTGCGGTCGTGATAGCTGGCGAGGCCTAGTCACAAGTCTATCCTCGTGTTGAAATGTTGTGGATTGGCGCAGGCGGAAAGGCCGAGTTCCCGCTCTGCGGCTTTGTCGCCCTTGGTGGCGTGCTCGGTGAACCCGTGATTTGGATCCAGCCATACTTTTGCGTTCATGTTGCAGCAGAGGCCGGAAAGACCGTATTTCCAGTCCCCCGTTAGTAAGCGGGCGGAGAGGCCGAGTCCCCGCTCCGCGCTCAATAACTTTCCCTTCTTCAATCTCTGGACCTGGAGGCCTAGTCTCGGTTCCCGAGTCGGACGCGTATAGTGACAGAGTGCCGTCTGCCTCGGCTTTTTCCACTTGCACACTCCATGGTTTGAGGATTGTTTCCTCTGAGTCGCCTCCGTTGCCTCGTGCCCTCCATGACATACATTCTCGTTGGCGTTTTGGCTCATCCTCTAAATGCAGAGTGGAGTGGTGTTTCTCACCACACCTACGGCATCTTCCCTCGCTTTGACACTCCTTCAGCTGGTGGGTCATGGCAAGGCAGTTTGCGCAATATCGGCCGAGTAGAGCTTCGCGCAGTCTCTCCTCGGGCGATTTTGCCCGATAAATAGGGCAGAGCCTAATAGGGTGGTGTGCGTCGCATAGGCGGCACGGTAGCGGATAGCGGTGGGCGCGTTGTTCGGCTCGTTTCCTCATAATGGCGATATGAGGCATCGTTTCGGCTGAAATGGGGTCAGATTTCGTTGCAGTGGATATTATAACGTATATATATATTGGTGGGTGGCGAGTGGTATGAAAGGCGTAACATTTTGATGAGTGCAAACGCGTAATTCTGTGGGTGTGAACTTGGCATTATTTTTATCATTTTGCTAATAAAAGAACCACCTAGTGTGAATGTAGCATAATGGTAACTCACGACCTACAAAATTTTGGATGATGAATTGCATGGATGCCATGCATTCTACTGTGCAGGGATGTATGGGCAACGTAGAATTTTACTTGGATTAAATTATATCGAAAAAATGCCTGCTCGTATGAGTGTGGTAGCATTTATTAATTTTTATTATTTTTCATTTGTGCTCCCCTCCGCATATTTTGTCAATAGCAGGTTTTGAAATATGTGTTTGTGCACTTGAGTATGTGACGTGAACCTGCTTATCGACCCCTGCAAAAAATTGTGCGACTAATCTCTAAAGAGAGTATTCCGAGATTACTCTCAATCGGGTACGATTGGGCATTAATTAGTCGCAACAAGTCTCATACGGGTACTAATGGAGGTCAATTAGTCTCGACTAATCCCTTATGGGTATAATTGGAGATCAATTAGTCTCCAACTCATCTCTAACGGGTACTATTAACGATTTAATGATATGTACGCACTTAGTCAATGAAATTTCATGTGCGGCGTTGGCACACAGAGAGAGTATTCGCCTAACCAAACTGAGCAACCCGGTTCGAATCTCAGCTGGCGCAAATTTTTATTTTTTAAAAG